GGAATGTGAATAAATTGGTCGGCTTCATGACAAACACTTCGATCCACGTTCGTGCTGATCACAGCTTATCCAACCCTATTCCTAGTTTTCGTATTATTATTATTTTTTTTAGTTTTCGTATTAAATATTGGTTCAGTTCGCATATATTAACATTTCTAATATATTATAAAACATTACAGTATTTGAATTAGCAATATGTAACTGTTGCTAAATATATAAGTTCATCGAATATATGCCATACCTATTGGACATTATCAGAGGCGGTCGTAGACATGTATAGGCTAGAAGCCAAAAATAATTATGTGGCTTGTTAGATTCAAACCCGTGACCTCATCTATTTATTAAAAGTACATCTACCAAGTAAGCTAAAGGAATTTTTGCTAAAACTGTTACCGAAATAATAGTTAATATTTTGCGGCCGCAAGCATGTGTTTGATCCGCTTCTATTCACGGCCGGCTCTGGACATTATATATAGTGTTGTTTATGCAAACGTTTATCCTCAAAATCGAATGATTTAAGAGGGAATTATCATTTCTTCTCTTTCTTTCGCATCGAGAGGAATCAGTGGGTATTAGGCTATTAGGGCATGATTAACTCTCATATATAAGATAGGGTTTTCAACTTATGATTTGACACTTATATATTTTTTTTTTTGGTTACAAGATAGATTCTTCATCTTTTATTTAAAAACGATTCTTAACTTTTCTTAACTAAAATAAAAAAAACTACAAACAATTTCTTAGACGAAACTAAAAATCTCAAATAAAAGACTAGGGTTAATCATGGTTTTAGCACACACATACACACACAAATATATATTTCTCCATATACAAATATATGATTTTTTAATATATAATAATTGCATTTGTCTTTAAAACTAAAACATAATTAAAAAGTAAAATTATGAATGGTAAAGTTTTATTGATAAAATAAAAAGTAATAAGTAGCAAATATATTTATTATTTTTAATATATCTGAAAAACCTTGAACATCATACATTTGTCTACATAAGTAGTATATATTTTGGGAACCTATATATACATACAATTTCTATATTTATTACTCTATATTTTTTTGAGCAATCTAAATTTATTATTTTATACTAAGTGTCACTTTAGTTTTTTACACATAAATTAGAAAATAATTAATTTTGTATATTTTTATAAAAAATATAATTACTTATGTACCTAATGAAATTTCAAATTAAATTTTGTATTGAAAGTTGATAACGACATTCATTTTGTAAACAAATATTTTTTCTAGAACGACATTTAATATGAAACATATGGAATATATTATAGAGGCTGAGAAATGCGATATTTTAATTTGACCAATACAATTCTAGCAGCTGGTTTGAAAACTCTTCCTGTTTGATTTAATCAACAGAAAATGTGTGTTGTCAGCCATCTAGCCAGCAGTAAAATAACCAAGTAGGTGAGACTGTAGTATGGGCATCAATTCCAACATAATAATTATGAATTTAGATTAGAAATATAAAATTAGTTTAGTTATGTCCAACATGAATAATAACACATGCTTATACCATGTGAGGAATTTTGTTACCCATGAGACGACTCTCATTCTTTAGTGTATCATACATAGAAATTGATATATGCGATCCACCAAAAATTCGTAAGCTATTACAGGAACTGTTGTATATATAGTATATAAATATATGCAAAGGTGGGTATATAGTTAGTTGGCGACAATATGGCAATCTAGAATGAGATAACGGCAAACGTATAATTAGTTGGCACCAATTTTAAATCAGTCTACAGCCCTATACACGCCAACCGAGTTTCTATATTTCTTTCTTTTTTTCTGTTTTTAAACCCAACTGAGATTTGTGAAAATTATAAATTATGTATTCGCAATTATTATATGAAGAGTCAAACTTTTTACCATTTTGGGGCACACTTACATTACATCAAACGTTTTTGATGTAAAAAATTATTTTTGTTTTACTAACAGAAAATCGTGAAGCGTTCGAATAAATCTCCCACAAGGTTCATTTTTGTGAATTTGATCAAAAAATTGTAACCAGAAATAAGCAATTAAATTATAAGGCCAAAGTAAAATATATATGCATCCATACAACGGCCACCTTTGATCCAACAAAACATAATTAATTACAAATAGCATTTTTTACTAATAGCTTATGTCACACTACCTTTTTTACTAATAGGGTCTACGGTAGTGAAATCTATTTAAAGTTTGTCGTTACGTACAATTCTGACATAACGACTTCATCGGCGTCTTATATGTCAGATGATGATTTATTTTTGATTAGTTAACCCATATATAACATTCTGTAAAAGTGATCCTTCTGCACTATATATTAAACGCATCCAGAATTTAAATTTTAATAAGTGGATTAGTTATTTGGTTTATTTTCTTGTTTTTATTGTTACTTTTAGTTGCTAAATGACCAGCTAAAAGTCAACAAGCGTTGACCTGAATAAAGACTTTTTGGGTTATAAACCAAGGAAACTAAGGACAATGTTCACTATCAGTTATGGATAAATTCTTTTGACGTTATATAAGCTGAAGTCTGATGATGGAAGTCAATAGACTCAGATTTATGATAAAGGAAACAAATAAGAAGATAAAGTAAGTTGGGTCGTAACACATACTCTCTCTGTTTCATCACAAATGTCGCTTTATCTTTATACACACAAATTAAAAAATAATTAATTTTACATATGTTCTATATAAAAACACAAATATTTATATATCTAACCATATTTTAATTAATAAAAAAATAAATTACATAATAAAATTGATAAATTTGCATTGAAAATTAAAAATAATATTTATTTTATCACAAAAAGTTTCTCTATTTTAACACTTAACTAGATTTTGACCCGCGCTTAAAAGCGCGGAAATTTTTTTATGATTAAAAATTTATATAAGTGGATTTTGTCTTAATTTAAATATTTTTTTGGTATAAAATCAATTCACCAAAGTTTGTGGTGATGATTGTTTTTCATTAGTTTTTAGTTTCATTTTTTAATTTTAGATTTTGTTTTAAAATTTTGGTTTTTAGTTTTAAGTTTATATTTTTGATTTTCAGGTTTTGGTTTGAGTTTTTTAATTTTTAGACCCGCTGAGTTAGTTTGAACTGATATTACCAACAAACAAATCTCAAATAATAAAACATCTAATTTAAACTGAAAATATGACAATTGTTTTTAAAAAAAAATTGCAATAGTTTATTTTGTAAATAAACAAAAGCAAAAAATATAACCTGTGTTTTCAGATTTTGGTTTGGATTTTAGTTTTTAGAGTTAGTTTTTGGTTTTGCTTAACATATTTTTTAAAAATCTATAAATTATTTAAGAAAAATAAAACAATAAATTATTTAAAATTTACCATTGAAATTTATCAAAAAAGTGATTTTTATTTAAAATAAAAAATACATTAACATGTTTTAAAGTACATGATTTAAATAAATGATTAATAATAGATAATTTTGTTTTCTTAAAAATATTAAATTTTGGGCCTGAAAATAATAGTTGATTTTTTGATCTAGTAAGGTGGAAAATTTATTCAATGTTTTTGGAATTTTCCTTCATACTAAGCCCAAAACCAAACTATATAATTTGTTTTAAAAACAAAAGAAAGCCCAAGACTATATCTCATGAATAACCACCGGTTTAATTTAAGTAATACAGTTTAATTAACTATATGTTTTGTATTATTTGTAACACTCTAGAATGGGTCCAAAGTTAAATGACAACTCGTATTAGTAGATAAAAAGAATGACTCTATTTTAATAGAGTAGATATAAAAGAGAGAGAATATGAATTAAGTAAGTTATAAGTTATAACACTTACCATAAGACGGTGGCAGATAATATTTTCATAAGAAAAACTCACAGAATTTTTGGTATTCAAGGAATAGCAAAATGCATTTTAGAATGTTTACGTGCCCTAGTGGCATTGGATCATGACGAAACGTACTCCGAGAAATGCGGTTGTTTGCCGATCTCTTTACTTCACAATCACTGGTTTTGTTTTCACCACTGCAGCATCTAATTATTCTCTCTCACACTATAGTTTTATTATATTTCTATTGATAATCATGCGGTACGTAGTAAGATTTTTTTTTTTTAAACTATTTAACTAACAAGTACTAATAATCTTTTGGAAACTAAGGAGCTTTCCCGCTAAAGGACAACGTTAAGATACCACCAATAAAAATACCCTAATGCTTCGGTCGAGTTTTATGGTCTAGTGAGATATTCACTGTAACACGGCATGCCCTAAAGGAGAGAATACAAACTACAACGCCACTTTATAATAGAAGGTCAAAAACTTAAAGGTTATATAATGGTGAACTCAATAACGAGATAATCTACTTAAAAGTACAAGACTTGGCCGTATATATATCGATCTATTTATTAATATAAAATTATATCATTCATATATATAACCTTTAAATATATATTGTTAATTTAGTTCATTATATAAAGAGAGTACAAATCTGATCTTCCTTTCTCTCTAACTTAAGAAGTGGTCGAAGATGTTTACATTCTGAAAAGTCAGCGTCTCTTTCTCTCTTCATCAACCATTCTTCTTTTTCCCCAAAACATTACAAAGTTAAGTTCAAAAAAAAAACATTACAAAGTTTTTCAGGAGATTAATCCAACATCACTGATCACCAGCCTTTTTCAGAAATATCCATAAAACGATTGTTTATAATCCTAGTTTTTTTATATTTTTTTCCGCTGTGTCTATATATATCACATATACATATAAGCACACACACACGCATCATACGTATATATGTTATGTGCACCGTCTCTGAATCTTTAGACATGGACAACTTCCAAGGAGACCTAACAGACGTTGTACGAGGTATCGGGTCAGGGCCCGTTTCATCATCCACTGGACCACCGGAAGGTCCATCTCCGAGCAGTCTATCTCCGCCGCCGATTTCAGATGTCCCCTCAGTCGCCAGCTGTCAGATAAATCCCTTTGGCGACCCGTTCGTAAGCATGACAGATCCTCTCTTCAACCTCACGGCTAACAAAAGCAACAACAGCTTCGAAGTCTTTCCAGAGGTTTCTGAGGATGATCATATCAAGAGTCAATGCAGTGTCTTCCCGAGAATACAGATCTCACAAAGCCACGATGTCTCAAAGTGTAGTCCCCCAGCCATGGCCGTTTCATCTGCCGTTGCAGCAGCTTCTCCATGGGGGATGATCACTAACAGTCCACGAAACTGTTTGATGGTAGATAATAGTAATAACACGTCATCTTCTTCGCAGATTCAGATCTCTTCTTCCCCTCGGAATCTTGGCATAAAGAAGAGGTGAATTTATTACAATCCGATCTCCATGATTTAATTATCATTTTGTCTTCTTGATTAAACGAGGTCATTTAATGCTAGGTTCATGATAAAATATAATGACACCATGTGGTTATTTATTATTTTTGTCAATTAAGTACCATTTTTTGAGAAATTAAATTAAGTACCATTTTCACTTTTTCATATTTGAGAACTTGATTGTGTTAAACTGTTAATCACCAAAGTTTCATATATTTTTTCTTTTTTTTTTTCAAAACTAATCTGATATATATACTACAGATGAGCTAGCAAATATAATGAATAGTACGCTATTTATATATTACAATCTTATTGTATTGTTTTTCAAATTGAGTTTCCTGATTGCTATTTCATATTATTTCTCGTCGACCATTGTAAGAGTTCCATAACCATGAGAGACCAACTGCACTAGGGCTTCGTTTTGTGTATGTATATGCGACCTTTATGTTTTTTTCGGAGATCTTACATTGTCTCTTTTTATTCCATCATTAAAATTTTCATGAGTTTGGTTTTGTTATTATAAATTTTATTTCCTTTATCGTTCAAACGATCTTCACCTTTCTTTTAAAATTTTGTTTACATATGTTTATATATGGAGTGTAAACAATGAACATTAGCTACACTTCCGTCATATCTCAAATGGAATTCATTATGCCGCACGCTACGACATTGATCACAAAAGTAGCTTTAAATTTACAACTAATTAACATGTATAAGTTTACTCACATGGGTCTAATTAAGTCTAGACTGTAATATGCAGGAAGGGTCAGGGAAAGAAAGTGGTGTGCATACCGGCTCCAGCCGCCATGAACAGCCGGTCAAGTGGGGAAGTAGTTCCGTCTGATCTGTGGGCTTGGCGTAAGTACGGTCAAAAACCAATCAAAGGTTCTCCTTATCCCAGGTACATATATATACAATATTTACATATATATTCATGTACCTCTCTCTCTATATATTTAACAATTATAAAGCTATATGTCCCTGGATACACATTACAAAAGTGAAATATATATATATATATATATATATATATATATATATATATATATATATATATATATATATATATATATGTAACCATGATATGTAGTGTTACAAAAAATATTAATGTTGTCGTCTCACCATTTTTTCAACAACAAACATAGATATGATACTGAGAGTGAATTTCCTTGAGAGAATTAATAAATTCACATTATAAGAAGAATATGCACCTTTACTTTCCTTTGACAAGCAATACAGCAGGTGCAATCAGATCACTAGCATGTAACTATAAAGTATACAGTATATCCATCTTTCTCCGGTGCACATAGCCTTTAAATTCCTTATTGTGAGAAATAACATCTTATAATCATAATATTCCACAGGAAAAGCTAGGATATCGCTTAAATGTTTTGGTATTCTCTGGTTAATTGTGCCAAGTGATCATTAATGGGTTGTTGCTTCTTGTGTGTTGCGCATACATGTTTTATTGGAAAAGTGATTTTTCTCAAGAAAAGGCTACGTACATAATAATTACATTATGGCTAATCAAGTCTTTGATGGCTACTTGAATGCTTGATTATTTGTTCCTCAGGGGTTACTACAGATGTAGCAGCTCGAAAGGTTGTCCAGCTAGGAAACAAGTGGAACGTAGCCGCACCGATCCAAACATGTTAGTCATTACTTATACATCTGAGCATAACCATCCATGGCCCACTCAACGCAATGCTCTCGCCGGCTCCACTCGCTCTTCTTTATCCTCCTCTTCAAACCTTTCTTCCAAATCCTTAACCGCAGCAACTAGCTCTTCCTCGTCCAGAGTCTCCCAAAACAAAGACGAACCCAATAAGCCCCCCTTGGCATCCTCCTCCACTCCTCCCTCTCCTTATGTGGCGGTGGCGGTTAAGAAGGAGAACGTTGAGGAGCGTCAAGAAAAAATAGAGTTCGATAATGACGTTAATGATACCTATAGACCAGAGTTTCAACTTCAGCAGGAGGATTTCTTCGCCGATCTTGATGAGCTTGAGGATGATTCTCTAACTATGTTACTTTCTCGAGGATTCTCCGGAGATAATAATAGCGGCGGAGGCAACAAAATGACGATCCCCGACGTATTTAGCGATTTCTTTGATGACGACTCCTCAAGGTCGTTATAAAAACTATTGTTATCTATACGTATATAGAAATGAACCTAGACATGAATTTCGTGTAATTCAGTTGATTTAATGACGATATTGGCCCTGGTGGACATCATCGGCATTTGTAATCGCGCGCTGAGGGTAATCTCTTCATTTACCAAACAATTTTTTTTATTGTGAGAGGTTCATCTTATATAAGTCAAAAACAATTATTCATTGGTTTTGTGAGTTCATGTGGCTTTCTTATTTCAAATGCTTTTGAAAAAGTTAAATGATCAAAAACATCAATGCATGGTATACTCATCAGTACACAATTTGTAATTGAAATCGTACGAAAAACTCAATATTGACTTTCGATAAAAGTTATTCTAGCTACTTATAATATTCAAAGAGGTGATTACTCAGTTAATAAATGATTATTTATAGGTTTGTATATACATAATACACATTCTTACTCAGTTTTCTTTCATAGATTGGGACGTATGGGAATGGAGTTATCTCGTCATGATGATTAGAGTTTTCCAATCTCATTATATATACTACTACTAGTATTACTACTAGTTTAAAAGACTCTTCATGATGGTGAGAATAATACTGACCATGCATGTGGATGACCTTGGAAGGCAGGAAGAAAACCCTAGTTTCATGGCTTTTCCTACGGAACGAAATAAATTAGAATCCCGTTATAATTAATAGTTATTGTAGTTTGATATAATAATGTGTTTTCAACAAATTGATATAATAATATGTTTTTTATTCATTATTCCTTGTGAGTCTGTCACTGGTTCAGAGGGAAAACAAACTGCATCGTTGAGGTGCCGCCTTATTATTTTTTCTTATTTCCTTTTAAAAATAACCATCTATTTATTGAAATCATGGTGGGACTGTAACACATGAAGTCCATATCTTGATTTTATTTTTAATTATCAGCTGGATCAACAACATCGGATCTATACCAGTTTATAGAGCGGAGAAACACGATTTAGTAGAATCGAATTATAGTAGGACAAATCGTAAATATGGATATCTAACCACTTGACTAGTGAGTGAGGCTTCCTCTCTTAATAATTGTTTTTATGAAGACAAAAATCTTACTTTGATACTTCTATAAAACATACACTTTATATAATTCAAGTAATTATTTGAATGTTAAATCACCGTTAGAGTGGAAGGTTATGATAGTGTGTGGGCAAAGGGGAGTGTGAAATATTCTCAACTTTTGATAAAAATTATTCTGGAAATAGTGACCTTAAGTTTTGTCAAATCCATCGGATTCTGATTGATAGAGAAAGAAAAGTTGCATCACAAGTTTTAATACTTTATAGTTATAAGTGATCGATTTGATGAGAGGGCTGGAGAAAAGAACAGTCGAATATTACACGATTAATTATCATAATATTTACTTTTTTATGGTTTTATCCTCCATGATGGGACATAGAGAATGAGAGGTCGTAATGAATTTGGATGAAGATTTGAGCGGGCAAATAGGCTTATGGATGGTGGTACTATTTGGGGTTACCTTCGTTTTGATTAGTGAAAATGTTAAACTTTTATTTTATTTTGGGGTATATTTTTTATTTTAAATTCCAAAAGTAAGAATATGATTAAAATATAGTGAGTTAAGTCCCATCCAAAAAGCTTTCGAGACTAGATTCTTTATAACCTTGATCCAATAAAAGAAGAATAAGCCGGTGATAATGATAGTTTGCTAATAACCCAAAATTATAGCGATGAAAGGAGTATGACTGTAGGAGAGATTGATGTATGTCAATATCGATTATATTTTTATTCACAAGTCATAATGTTTTTTCTTTTATGAGAGTAACGATAAATTCCTCCATTGAACATATGCACATCAAAATTGTTTTTCTTTCATAAGCTTATGTGTTTTTGGGCTGTCTTTTTTAGGTTCTAGTCAACACATGTAATAAAAGTACATGTTTATACTAGTAAACTGAAACTCATGAAATTCCAAATCAAATTTTCATTTCTTTTTAGAGATAATTGGCTAAAGTGCCCTATTTGGCACCTATAATTAGAGACTTGCCCATGATGTGACAATCACTTTCCTTTGGACCATTTTGCCCTTCTCTACACTCTCTCTCCTCTCTTTGACATTTCTCCTTTTTTTCTCTCTTCAATCCCTAATTATTTTACAAATCTCTATCATTATATATACATTTAAATTTTAAATTTCATTATTTTTTCATAAGTGGCTTTGAATCCTCAATGGTTTAACCTTTTTTTTTTCTCTCTAATCCCTAATTGTTTTACAAATCTCTATTATTCTATATACAATTAAATTTTAAGTTTCATTATTTTTTTCATAAGTGGCTTTGAATCCTCAATTTTTTAATGATATCAATTTTCTGGGTTTTAGATTCGACGTCGTGTTAGCGGTTAACAAATATTGTAGACGTTAACAGAAGTGTTAGTTGTTAACAATTATTTTTACGCTTCGCGTTAATAAATGTGTTCGCTGTTAACAAATGTTGTAGACGTTAACAGAAGTGTTAACTGTTAATAATTATTTTTACGCTTCGCGGTAATAAATGTGTTGGCTGTTAACAAATATTGTAGACGTTAACAGAAGTGTTATATGTTAACAAATGTTTTTACGCTTCGTGTTAATGAGAGGAAAGAGAAAGGGCATTCTCGGCATTTCCTTGCCAAATGGTTGTGTTAGTGTCCTTCATGTCCAATCAATGGTATTTTACTAATTTGAGCTTCAAATATGGGTAGTTCACTAAATCGCTCTTCTTTTTACAGTAACTAAAACCATGATAAATTTTAAAAAAATACTAAACTGGAAAACCCCAAAAACCAAGGCATTAATCACTCAACGGCCCCTTTCGATCGCGGATTGGAGAGTTGGTTTAATCCGATTATTCCGGGCTTTAAATTTGTAAGACCCAGAAGACAGATCAATAAAGCCCCAACATTTGTTATTTTGTTAATGTAAAAGTTCCAAAATGCGACATACATTAACCAGAAAATGCCACACGATAGCTAATACATTGACAACTAGACGCTAGCTAATACATAAGACTAATACAACATAAGTATTAGTTCCTAGTTAAGGGGAGATTAACCAGGACCATTAGCCACTAATGAACAATACAAAACATAAACTAAACTAACAACACAAATAAAAGGACAGACACAATTTGGGCATTCAGACATTAAAACTAGTTAGACTGTGTCTGCAGATAGTAACTTGTTGATCTCTCCAGTAATCATAGGATTTCTCCAAATAGATTCTTCACTTGATAGATCTCGAACCATTCCACACGGAACCAAACATACTTCATGCGTTGATAGCTTCTCCTGGATTTCTTGTGATCCAAGTAAAACTTGAGTTTCTATTTCCACATCAGAGATATGCGTCTACAAATTAACAAACAGAAAACATGATTATGGTTCCAAATAATTAGTAATGTTGTTTTGAAGATTGTTATTTACCTTCTTTCTCGTCTGCATCATTTGGAGAATCCCAACTTGGCTTTGTAAGAACTTGACATACTTAGCGGCTGCTTGGAACATCTCTGCGGTGTTGAGTTTCTGACCACCTGGGATGAGTTTCGTGAGCTCGTGAGTCTTGTCCGCAATTCTTCTTCTTCTCTCACGAGCTGCAATGCTCTGAGATGAAAGCTTTGGTTTCTTGGTGCCGTGGCTTCCGTCTTCATCTCCTCGGCCTACCTTGAACTCTAAGGGGATATCTGGAACTTGAAACTCCGGGAATATGAAAGCTTCTGGAGCTAAATCAAGTTCGTCGTAGTAGTTCAAGAAATTAGGGTTAGGGTTTGGGAAGTGGTTGTGAAGGTTACAATGGTAGCTTGAGTTATCAAGTTTCTGGAGTTTTGGCGCGGGGAGGAAGGAATCTAGGTCATGTGTTTCGTTGAAGATTTCAGTTTTAGGGTAAGGAAGACAGGTTTCTTGGGAAGGAAGAAACTGGTCGCAGAAATAGTCCAAGTCAGTGAGCTCTAGTAGGGTCTGAGAAGGAGCTTCTTCTTGAAACAATGGCTGATGGTATTGCATTTGAGGTTGAGTTTGGAAGAAGAAACTGTCGGATTCGGGGATAGTTGTATCCACATTGGGAATAAAACATTCCTGGAGCTGGATAGGTTGATCCCAGTCAAAGAAGTGGCTTAAACAATCCATTGACGACATTGAAAAGATGAAACCTGTAGAAAGGAAGAAGGTGAAGCAATCAGGAAGGAGTTAGAATAGTTTAGAAGATGATTATTAATAAGTTTAGTTATGCTTTAATAACTAGTAACGAGCTAATAGATTATATCTACAAAAATAAACTAGACAAGAAAAAGAAAAGACAAGAGAGGATATCTGAGAGAATCAAAGACCTGGAGATTGATTTTAGAGGATAATGTCGTGTCTTTTGTTCTAATTCAAGTAGACTTCAACGTTGTAAGTTGTTTACTAGTTAACTGTCTCGTAGGCATATATATGAGAAAGAAAAGGGTTTAGGGTTTTAGAGCGGAAACAAAGGAGAGGTTACTCTTGGTTTTCGATTTTTTTTTGGTAACGACCTTCCTATTTATAAGGGCATAATTCATTTATTTTAATTTATCTTCTTATTAATTTAGAGCCATTTCCAAAATGAAATAAAATCAGTGATTGGCTCATTAATTTTTTTGGTTTGGAAATTGTCAGACGTGCATGTAAATAAGTATCTATACAACTGTATGGAATATTAGCCATTTGAAAAGTAATAATTGTTACAGAAATACAAAAACACAATATATCTTACTATAATTTTGGCAGCGCATATGTTACTTTTAGAGTTTTAGTATATAAGTATGGTTTGGAACCAAATAGTATGAGTAACTGACATTTTTAAAGTTATTTTGGAAGGCCATTTATAATCCATGTGTATCAATTAATTTGGACAAATAAGCAATTTTTTTTGTCAACGACTAATAAGCAATTTATATTCAGTCTGCTTACGGTTACTCACTCAATAACTGCATCCTCTCGTTTATTTTTAATCCTTAATTTTCCTAACTAGCTTAATTAATATTCCAGATTTTATATTTTCTTTCTTTGTGGACTTGGTAAAAGATGCGACTTTGGCGGGTAAAGCTGGTTTCGTGGTTCCACGTGCCTCAGTCCTTACTTTGCTGCCAAGTTTACTATCCT